TTGGTTGACGTAAATTGTCAGTGACATAACCAGCTCACAGAGTGTTCGTGTAGTTGTAGATGTTTTATTGCAATATCGTATTAATTACAGAAAACTGTAGTGACCGATCAGAGAACGGAATCCACAGTTATGGAGTCTTCTTTCTTTACGTTATACAGTTTTTCTTCCTGGGTCTGTTGCAACTTTAGACCGGTTCCTTCTTGATATTTATACAGAATAAAATATGAATCCTTGCATTTAGTATAGCGCCTCATCACGTTGTTGAGATGTCTCAAAGCGCTTCACAAGATATATTGTAAAGTGCAGTGACTGTGTATTTTGAGGGTGAAACGTGGCTGCCAATTTGCACACAGCAATGTCCCACAAACAGCCATGGAGAGAGGGACCAATTTTATGAGGGGGATTGTTGGCCAGGACGGGAGAGAGAAACTTCCCCCTTTTTTCCAACATTGCTGTGGGATATTTAACATCCGTCTGAACAGGCAGACGGGACCTCGGTTTAATGTCTCATCCGAAAGACGGCATCTCCAACATTGCAACCGCCCCCTCCCAGTGCTGCATTGGAGCATCAGCTTAGACTGTGCGATTCCAACTCCTGATGTGGGGTTTGAACCCACAATCTTCTGACTCCGAGATGAGAACGCTACCACTGTGCCACGCTGACACATGGAACCAACAAGTTTTTGTGACCTTCAAGACCATACGGTTTGGCTCACAGATGCCGTTTCCTTGTACGTATTCCTCCTCCCACCACCCGCCATGTTTCACACACTGTACCTTTTGCCCACGTATGTAAAATGAGAACGAGCGAGGACATTAGGTTAAAGGAAAAGCAGAAACTATTCATTTCTGTCAGGGCTACAAACGCTCTCAACAGAATTTCATATAATGGTATAAATGTGCACTACCTGAAAGGGTGGAGAATGCAGCTTTGATAATAGCTTTCAAAAGCGAATTACACAGGTACTTGAAAAGGAAAAATGTGCAAAGCTAATGGGGTAAGAGAGGGGAATGGGACTCTCTGGCAGCTTTTCAAAGAGATGGGTCTCCTGTATTGCGAGATACTACGATTCTATGATAAACAGTACAAATGTTTAATAACTTCCATTATCTGTGAAATGCATAATGAAACAGCACGATAGCCGGCCTAACAGAATCTAATGGTTCATAATGGTTTATAATGTTAAAGTGATCACAACGCCAATATAATAACAACACACCCGTGATGTTTCAAAGCTCACGCTCCAAAGCAGCACTGGGTGGGTGTTGGGTGGGGGGGGGAGTGTTGCATTGTCGGAGGTGTCGTCCACCGGATGAAACATTAACTCGAGCCACGTCAAAAATCCCGCGGCATTAATCGAAAAGGGAAGAGGGTTTTTCTCTCTCATGGTGTCCTGGTCAGCAACCCCCCCCAGATAAAGTTGGTCACTCACTCCATGGCTGTTTGTGGGAGGGACACTGCTGTGGCGCAAATCGGCTGCCGGGTTCGCTCACACAATACACAGTCACTACACTTTACTGGGAAGTGTGGTGAGATGTTTTGACAACAACAGCATTTACATGTATGTATCTCGGTCTTCACGTGAAGCAGCAACTCTGAGCGCTTAGTAATCATCTTGTTGTTGTTGTTGTTAACAGCAGCGTAGGGAGGAGGTGACCATAATCACGGACAAACAGGAAGATTCCACCCACAAAATGTACGGTTTACTTTACAGTATATCCTGTGAAACGCTTTGAGACGTCTCGAAGACGTGTTAAGGCGCTGTATCAAATGCAAGGGTTATTATTATTACAAGGTGTTAGGTCATGATCTGAAAGAGGGAAAGGAGGGGGCAAGATTGAGGGAGAGAGTTTCCTTGACGATGGGATAAAGCGCTGGAACAGATGCGAGAATTATTAGGATTATTTTATTCATGCAGTGTTCCGAGCTCCTGTTATATTGGGGGTCTGATGGGTTCAACCTTTTGAATGCTTCTCTGTGATCTCTGAATAATGTCCCTTTCTATTTGTATATTCACATCTGCTGACTTCACACTCCAGCCTTTGTCTGTGTGACATTTCACTCTCTGCTGTCTTTATATTGTCAATTCTCATCTCAATTTAAGCTCCTTGGGACGTCTTTCCCATGTGAAAGAAGACGCTATATAAATGCCAATATACATTGTAGTTTGAATTATAATTTCTGCCTCTTGCTATCTCTCCAGTGCTTACCTCCCTCATCAACGCTGGTTCTCTCTCTCTCTCTCTCTCTATCTCTCTCTGCCTTTCTCTCTTCTCTGTCTGTATCTTAAAATGAATAATAAGTTGCTGTGTGTCAATTGTCAATTGGCTGTCACATTTTCCTCAATAAAATACAAATTTGCATTTACATAGTGCCTTTCCTGTCAGGAGGACTTCCCAAGGAACTTGACAGTTCTGATTGGGCAGCTGAGCCGGGGGTGGGGAGGGGAAGATGACTGAAGACGTGGTCAAAGAGGAAGCTCTTGAGATGGACCTTGGAGTGCCGTAGCATAGTGGTTAGAGCACTCGCCTCGCAAGTGAGAGGACCTGGGTTTGAGTCCCGGGCAGCGCAAGTGATGGTCAAATTTCCTTCCACACACCTCTGTTCACCCAGCAGTAAGTGCTCACTCCGTGGCTGTGTGTGGGACACTGTTGTGTGCAAATTAGCTGCCAACAAATACTGTCTCTCCCCTTTACACTAATAGCCTGCTTACAGACATACTATTGTTATAGCCAGTGAATGAAATGTGAGGAGGATTGGATTTTATGACGGCAGATTATTGCCGGCGAGAGGCTGAGATTATCACAGTCAAAGGAGAAATTGCGACGTGTTTACGGTGTCATAGGATGTGAAGGTTCAGAATCACCGACATTTGCAGCACGAGGGGAGACCATTTGTCTGAGCTCCTCTGGGAATAGAGCAGTCCATTCAGTCCCATTGTACGTGGGCCATTGCTGTGGGAAATTGGTTGCCCTCCACCTCACCATCAGTCGGCTATCCTTCTGTTCCTCTGCCCCTAACTCTCTGAAACTCTCTCTGTCTTGCCCCTCAACTCCCTCCACCCTCTGTCTTTCCCCTCTCTGTCTGTCTTTGAATCCCACCTAAAAATGATCCTTCAGACTAGAGTCGCTTCTCCCTCCCGCTCTTCCCACCTCCCTTGTTCAGTGTCCAACCGTTATTATAAAGCTCTCTGAGATGTTACCTTATGTGATGGGCACCTTACAACTGCACGTTCTTGTTCTAAGTATGATACGTCTCTCCATGGAGAGAGTGTTGATCACGGTGATGGGTTTCCGTGTGTGTCAGACACCCGGTGGTCACGGTGATGGGTTTCCGTGTATGTCAGACACCCGGCTGGTCACGGTGATGGGTTTCCGTGTATGTCAGACACCCGGCTGGTCACGGTGATGGGTTTCCGTGTGTGTCAGACACCCGGCTGGTCACGGTGATGGGTTTCCGTGTGTGTCAGACATTTGGCTGATCACAGTGAAGGTCAGACACCGGTTGATCACGGTTCCTAATTTCAAATGACTCCCTGATATTTGGCAGGAATCCAGGTCGGCTCAAAGTGGGACATGCCCACATTATAACGCAGCCCAATGCAGTGCGGGCTTGATTATATTGTGGAAGTGATGTCAGGAGCACTTCCTGCGTATAACGTGCAGGGGCAACATACAGGAAGCGATGTCAGGGACACTTCTTTTGAGTGGCGTTTCACTCACAAAACACACAGTCAATCCAATTTACAGTATATTCTTTGAAGCGCTTTGAGACGTCTGGAAGACATGCCAAAGGCAAGGGTTATTATTTTAATGAGGATGATTATCACAGAGGAAGTGATGTCAGGGATGGGTTTGCGTGTGTGGCGTTGGAAGGCAGGGTTGGATTAAGCATCGCTATGAGTGGGGGTCGGATGATATTCAGTCCCTGATTCGGGGCAGCAACACTGGAGCATCAGCCTGGCCTGTGAGCTCAGAGTCCCTACACATGGTTCAACCCCTGTGATCAACAACAACAACAAGATTCCATTTATAGAGCGCCTTTCACGTCGGGAGGACGTCCCAAGGCGCTGGAGATCAGCGCTGGAGGGACTGAGCCAGGCTGATCTCCCTGGAACATTAATATTCACTTCCCTGCCTTTTCTCCGCACCTTCAAAAATACTCTTGTTGACTGAGTGTCTCTATCTCTGTCTGTCTCACTGTCTCTATTGATGTTCTGAGACACTGTTGTGTGCTGTGGTAGCCCTGATCGCTCTCTGTGGACTCCCTGTCACAGCGCGAAAGCTACTGGTCTGTCCTCTGCTCTGGGATTCTGTTACTAAACCAACAACAACAGCTCGGACGGGGTTTACCTGGTGTCCGGCACAGAGTCGGTCACTGATGGTGGGTGGGGGGGGTGATGGTGGGGTGGTGTGGAGACAGTGCAAAGGGAGAGTGCAGGGGGAGCTGACCTGAGTTAATGGAGCTTCACTGTAGTGAAGAGTGAAAACCCCCCCTCGTCAAATGATGTCATTATACTCAACATCTCATCACCCCTCAGTTCCCCCTTCCCCCCCCCACCACCACCCACTCTGCACCCTGAGGTCCACCTGGGAGTGAGCACCGGTACAGACACAGTGGGGAGAGACTAGGGAATGGGATTAGAGTTTGATTCCCGGGCAGGGCAAAATCTTAGGCAAATTTCTTACTCCACACGCCTGTTTACCCAGCAGTAAGTAGGAACCCGGATGTTAGTCGATTGGTGGATTGCTTTCTGGGGGTAATTCTTGACTGTTTGTGGGACACTGCTGTGCGCAATTGACTGCCGCTTTTCGCCCACATAAATACACAGTGCATTCACTTTACAGTATATTGTGTGAAGCGCTTTGAGACATATTAACGACGTAATAAGGCAAAGATGACCATTATTAGAGCGCTCCAGTGAGGGAGCGAGCACCAGCACAGACACGATGTGGAGAGAGCAGGGAATGGGATTAGAGTAGGAGCCGGTGTGATAGACATGGTGACACCAGACCTGTGTATAGGTATTACCTCAGCCCTCATGACCTCTAATCTGGTGGAGATCCATCATGGTGCTGCCAACATCGCATATCATCAAATTGCTTGGTCCCCGATCAATATGTAATTCTATACCAGAAAGACTGCATTTGCTCGTCAGAGGCCAACACTAACTACATTATAGTCATCATCATCATCCTTGCATTTGACACAATGCCTTTCACGTCAAGAGGACGTCCCGATGCGCTTCATAGATACACAGTGAAGTGTCGTGATTGTGTGTTTTGTGGGTGAAACGCGGCAGCCAATTGCGCTCAGCAGCGTCCCACAAACAGTCGTGGACTGAGTGATCAAATTATTATTATTTCTTTATTTGTGGAGTCCTGTAGCTCAGTGGTTAGAGCACTCGCTTTGCAAGTGAGAGACCTGAGTTCAATTCCAGGCAGAGGGCGAAACCTTGGGCAAGTTTCCTTACTCCACACAGAGCCTAATAATAATCCCTCCAAAACCAAAAACAATAATAAATTGGTCATTTTCAATCTACGACTGTTTGTGGGACATTGCTGTGCGCAATTGGCTGCCGCGTTCGCCCACAAATATACAGTCAATTCACTTTACAGCCTATTCTGTGAAGCGTTTTGGGACGTCCTCCCGACGTGAAAAGCGCTATATCAAATGCAAGGATTATTATTATTATTTTTGGAGGGATTATTACCCCTGGAAAAGGGATCCTGGTTCCCGCTTACTGCTGGGTAAACATATGCGTGTGGGGTAAGGAAACTTGCCCAACCTTTTGTCCTGCCCGGGAATCGAACTTGCAAGGCGAGTGCTCTGAGATCTAAATTACAGAAATTATCGTCCTTGCGTTATGATATAGTGCCTTTCATGTCAAGAGGACGTCCCAAAGCTCTACACAGGATAAACTGAAGTGAAGTGACTGTGTATTTTGCGGGTGAAACGCGGGAACCAGTTTGCCCACAAACAGCCATGGAGTGAGTGAGCAATTTTATTTGGGGGATTGTTGGCCAGAACACCAGGAGATAGAAACTCCCTTCTCGGGATCTTTAGGCAGACGGGACCTCAATTTAATGTCTCATCCAAATGATGGCACCTCCAGCGATGCAACAACCCCAACACTACATTGGAGCATCAGCTTATTCTATGATATGACACACTCCACCCCCCCCCCCCCGCCGCCGCCCCCCCCCCCACACACACACATATATACGTACAGGGTCCATGTCCATACACATACATGGATCCTGTACGTATAACCGCACACACACACACACTACACACACTCACGCAGACACACACACTGTACGCACACAACACACACTGCCTCACTCTCACACAGAGACACCACACATGCACACCACACACAGTTACGGAGATGCAGCCCGTGCCTCGCTCTCACAGACGCGCACATACACCGCCTCGCTCACACAGATGCGCACATACACCGCCTCGCTCACACAGATGCGCACATACACCGCCTCGCTCACACAGACGCGCACATACACCGCCTCGCTCTCACAGACGCGCACATACACCGCCTCGCTCTCACAGACGCGCACATACACCGCCTCGCTCACGCAGACGCGCACATACACCGCCTCGCTCTCACAGACGCGCACATACACCGCCTCGCTCACACAGACGCGCACATACACCGCCTCGCTCACACAGACGCGCACATACACCGCCTCGCTCTCACAGACGCGCACATACACCGCCTCGCTCACACTGATGCGCACATACACCGCCGCGCTCACACTGATGCGCACATACTCCGATTCGCTCACACAGACGCGCACTTACACCGCCTCACTCAGACAGACGCGCACATACACTGCCTCGCTCACACAGACGCGCACATACACCGCCTCGCTCACACAACAGACGCGCACATACACCGGTTCGCTCACACAGACGGCACATACACTGCCTCGCTCACACAACAGACGCGCACATACACCGGTTCGCTCACACAGACGCGCACATACAGCGCCTCGCTCACACAACAGACGCGCACATACACCGGTTCGCTCACACAGACGGCACATACACTGCCTCGCCCACGCAGACGCACCCAAAATGTGTGCCACGTCTACAAAACAGCCACTGGACTTGACAGTAATTACTGCGAAGCACTTTCATGCATTTTGATCCTCCAGATAATATTGCTGGTGATTGTGTGTGTCAGCCTGGCGCGGTCAGTAAATCAGTGTAAATGTAATGTATTTACCGGCGAGCAGGAACAATCACAGAGCAGGTCTGATGTTGGCAATCAGATTTGTTCCAGGTTGATGTCACCGGCCCCATCAACTTCACATTACAGTGTGTGTTACACGTTTCTTTTTTAAAAAAAACACAGCAGCAGCAACAACAACAGCAATGTCCTGGCCCCTGGCACTGCCATCCTGGCACTGCCCCCAGCCACGACCTGGGAGGCCGAGCCTGCGGGCTGATGCCATCCTGCTGATCGCTCGCTCCCGGTGTCTGCGTGGGCATTTTGGCTGCTGCCCCGACCCAAAGCTCCCCCTCCCCCTCCACTCCAAATGTCTCTCCTCCCACCCCCCTCTATCCTCTACTCCCCCTCTGTTCTTCTCTCCCACCGCCCTCCCCGCCTTCTCTCTTTTCTCGACCCCATCACCCCTTCCCTCTGCTCCAGCCTGGGCATCCTCCGCCGGGACCATCATGGCTTCCGGCACTGGCTGTCCCAGAGCAGCCACCCCAAGCGTCCAATCATTCACTCCCTCCGCTCAAACCGCCTCCTTAAGGCAAACCCAACTCCCCCCTCCCTCATACGTACCCTACCAACTCTCCACTCCCCCCACTCTCCACAGCCATCTCTCCTGTACACCCCAAATTCCTCTCCACATCACTCTCTCCCTCTCCTCCCTCCAGCAAACCCACCCGCATTTCCCTCCAAAATGTCCAATCCCTCTCAAACAAAGCCCTCACCATCCTCGACGAGCACCTCAACGTTCTTGGGCTCACCGAAACCTGGCTCTCCCCCAATGACCCCATCCCCCTAGTTGAAGCCTCCCCCCGCAGGCTACACCTTCTACCACACCCCCCATCCAAACCAACGTGGCGGCGGGGTGGCCTTCATTTCCAAAGCCTTCTTTGGTCTCACCCCCTACTCCTCTGGCTGCTTCCCCTCCTTCGAGCACCTCACCCTCTTCCACCTCTCACTTCTATTGAAAATCCTCCTTGTCTACCGCCCCCCCTAAGCCCCCCGGCTCCTTCCACTCTGCTCTTGGGGATGTCATCCCCAGACATGGGGTACATTTCCACATGTATGCGGACGACACCCAACTCTATTTTTTCACCTCACTTTACGACCCTCAGTCCCCTGATGTTCTGCCTGTCAGATCTCAGGGGCTGGATGAGCACATATTTCCTTCAGCTGAACGTTGACAAGATGGAAGCTATACTCTTTGGCTCTCGTCAACGTCTAAAATTTTCACGGCTCTCACGTCCTCCACCTACTCGACCTCCCCCTAAAACTCTCCAAACCCGTGCGCAACCTAGGCGTCAGGTTTGACCCCCAATTATCTTTCCTCCCCCATATCCGGTCCCTCACCAACACCGCTTTCTTCCACCTCCAACGCATTGCCCATCTCCACCAATACCTCTCCCCAAAAGCCGCTGAAGCCCTAGTCCATGCCTTTGTCACCTCTCGGCTGGACTACTCTAATGCCCTCCTCGCCGGTCTCCCCTCCACTACCATCTATAAAATCTAACTCATTCAAAACTCTGCCGCCCACATTCTCACCCGCACGAACCTCCGCTCCTCGATCCCCCCAGTCCTGGCCAGACTGCACTCGCTGCCTATCCCAGAGGATCGACCAAGATCCCCACCCTTGTATTCAAATCCCTCCACTCCTCTGCACCCCCCGACCTCTCTGACCTCCTCTCGCCTCAAAACAGTACCCGTTGCCTTCGTTCCTCCGGGTCTGGCCTCCTCCTCGTCCCCCGAATCCTGCGCTCCACCCTCGGTGACCGTGCCTTCAGCCACTATGCCCCGGGGCTCTGGAACTCCCTCACTCCATTCATCTCGCTTCATCCCTTCCTATTTTCAGGTCTCTGCTGAAGACCTTTCTTTTCGACCGAGCCTTTGGTCACCTCCCCCCACTCCCCCCGGCTCGGCCCCCGGGATCCGTAACTGTAAAGCGCTCTGAGACGCCGTCCTGCGTGGAGGGCGCTATATAAATCCAAGTTGTTGTTGTTGTTGTTACACTCCCAGCATTGCCTCATTCTGATGATTGGCTATTTCCCTTAATGTGAGCTCACAGTCCAGGCTAACGCTGCAGTGTTGTGCTGGGGTGGTGGGGGGGGGGGGGGGGGGAGCGCGCGATGCATTGTCAGAGACGCCGACTTTCCGATGAGACCTTAAACCGAGTTCCCGTCTTTGCTGTTCAGGTGGAAGTTAAAGATCCCACGGCACTAAGAGAAGGGAGTTTATCATTATTATAATAATAATTATTAATAATCCTTACATTTAGCACAGCAACTTTCAACTCAGGAGGATGTCCTTCACGGGATTTACTGTAGGGTGTAGTGACTGTGTATTTTATAAGGTGAATGCGGACAGCCATGTCCCACAAACAGCCATGAAGTAAATGCCAGAGATGCTGTGTCCTTTGGATGAGATGTTAAACCTCACTCCCCGTCTGTGCCCGTGTTCAGGTGGATGTTAAAGATCCCACAGCGCGATTGTAAAAGAGAAGTTTCTTTTCCCTGGAGCCCCGGCTGACAATGCCCCGGATAAAATTAATCACTCACGTCATGGCTGTCTGCAAGACATTACTCTGACCAAATTGGCTCCATCCACCCACCCTGTCTCTCCTCCTCATTTTCCTTCAAGGCTCATCCTGCCTTCACTCCTCCCTATCCCAGCAACTTCGCTTTGTCTTCTCCCGCCCCCGCACGGTATTAAGCGGTGGTTCCTCAGGGCTATAATCCTCGCTCCTGCCTTCATTATTTAAACCCTCCTTGGCCAGGTTGTGAGTGTCCTCCTGGGGAAGGTAAGCAGGGTCTCTGGGACTGAACCAACTCCGTTTGGCAACAAACTGCCGGAATCGAGCCAGTCCTCTGTGGCGGTCGTGGTATCTGGTTCCTGAGCCAGGTGGGTCCGCAGTATTCCAGGCTGGCTCATCGGCAGTTGAGTCCTGTAGCTCAGTGGTTAGAGCACTCGCTTTGCAAGCGAGAGACCTGAGTTTAATCCCAGGCAGAGGGCGAAACCTTGGGCAAGTTTCCTTACTCCACACAGAGCCTAATAATAATCCCTCCAAAACCAAAAACAATAATAAATTGGTCATTTTCAATCTACGGCTGTGTGTGGGACATCGCTGTGCGCAATTGGCTGCCGCGTTCGCCCACAAATATACAGTCAATTCACTTTACAGTGTGTTCTGTGAAGCGCTTTGGGATGTCCTCCCGACGTGAAAAGCGCTATATCAAATGCACGGATTATTATTATTATTATTATTATTAGGGAGCAGAACTGGACTCTCCAACTCTCCCTTACAAAACCTGCGGACTATCCAGAACTCTGTTTCCTCTCCCACACTGAGCTCGGTGACCCCATCACCCTCATCCTCGCTCGGCTTCTCTCGGCTTCAGCCTCTCTACTCCGACCCTTTGGATCTCCATCCCAGAGCACCTCTGCCTCACACCCTCCCTCGCCTCCTTCAAGGCCTGTCTCAAGACGTTCCCCTATGGTATCCTCCTACCTCCACCCCTATTGCCCTCCACCCCTCCTCACGTGCAAACCCTTCACTTAGGATATCCAAGGCGCTACATAAATACAATTTGTTTTGTCGTTGCCCTCCCCTCCCTGGCTCGGAGTCAGCCTCCGCCCACTGTTAAGCGCTCTGAGATGCTACCCTGTGTGGAGGGCGCTCTATAAGTGCAAGTTGTTGTTGCTGTCATTGTGGAGGCAGTGTCCCCACAAACGTTTAGACGTCTTTGAACGCTTCCCAGGATGTACTGTAAAGAGTAGTGACTGTGTATTTTGGGGGAAAAACATGGCAGCCAATTTCACATTGTGGGACATTGCTGTGTATAAATTCACACTGAACTCCACTCCCCAATCACCCCAGTCCTTGTCAGGCTCCACTTGTTCCCTGTCACAGAACGGATGCGGCTTGAAGAGCCTTAAACTCGTCTACAAATCTGTTGATGCCCTGGCACCTCTCTGACCTGCTTACTCCCCAATCCAAAACCCGCTGCCTCCGCTCGACTGGCTCCGGCCTCCTGCTTGTCTCTTGTCCTCTCCGCTCCACCTTCGGTGGTTGCCCATTCAGCCACTGGGCCACAAAACTCTCTCCCTCAAACCCACCGCCTTGCCCCCTCCTCCATTTTCAGATCAACTTCCTCTTTTACCATACCTATGGTCACTTCCTCCACCATTATTAAGCGCTCCGAGATGCTTCTCTGCGTGACGGGGGTCTGTATAAATGTAGGTTGTTCTTGAGTAAGTGACCATTTTATTTGGGGGTTGTTGGCCAGGACACCATTTTAAGTTGGGTGTGGGTAGGGGGAGCGTTATAGCTGGCTTGTGGTTTCTGATAATGTACGAGTCAGTGAGTGTGAGACATACACAGAGATAAAAGGTTACTATCCCACTGTATTACTGCAGATAATGTGACATTTCTCAACACAGTGACTCAGGGTTGTGGAAGCATTTACTGTAAACATTACTGAACCCCGACCAAGTCAATAAATCCCTCAGTACATCAACTGTAGACAGCAGCACTTTATCATTAGATCATAGATTGGTCTGGACGAAGAAGGCCTCTGATCTCATAGATGTAGAGTCCCGTAGTATAGTGATTAGAGCACTCGCCTCGCAAGCGAGAGGACCGGGGGTTTGATTCCCGGTCAGACAAAACCTTGGACAGTTTTCTTACTCCATGTGCCTCTGTTTATTTAGCAGTAACTAGGAAATAGTTATTGGTCGAATTGGATTGGAGGATCACTTTCCGTGATAATGATAATCTCTCCAAAAAAACAATGGTCACTCAATCCACGATATTTTGTGGGGCGCTGCTGTGTGCAATTGACTGCTGCGTTTTGCTCACAAAATATAGTCACTGCACTTTACAATATATTCTGTGAAGCACGTTGAGATGTCTCAATGATATAAGGCGCGACATCAAATGGAAGTATTATTATTATTATCCCCCCAGAACCCCCACCCAACTGTCTCCCCATCATAGCATTGAGCTGCTTTATAAACCAGTCCCAGTGACCCGGCCTCAACCCCCCNTCCTGCTAACCCTGTTCTACTCATTAATTACCCTCTGGGTAAAGAAACACTTCCTGGTGTCGGTCCTAAAATGACCCTTTACACTAAACTCTAACCCTGTGGCCTCTTGTTCTACTGTCTCAGTGTATCTGACAGCGATGATCTGGGTTTACTTTTCAATCCCATTCACACTGTTACACACCTCTGGGACGTCCCCTCTGGCTGCAGTGTTTGGCTAAAGAACACACAGTCACTACACTGGCAGCTGGCCCTGTGAGACACTTTGAGATGTTTGATGCTCTAGAAACTGTATCAATGGGAGGATTATTGTCATATTATTAATGAAATGATCGAGGTGTGGATGGTGAATAGTAAAGGATGGCAGAGATCAGGGTGTGAGCTGTTTACTAACTACAGTTACAGTTACTAACCCTGTTTGCTAACTTGATTACTAACTCCTCCTATTAACTATGCCTACTAACCTAGTTACTAACTTTAGCTCTGGTTACTATCACTAACACTGGTTACCAACTCCAGTTTCCCCCACCACACCCACCGAGTCTGTCTCTGACTCTCTGCTTATTGGCATTTCCAACTCTTCCCCCCACAACCTGCAGATTGTTTGGAGCTCCGCAGCTCGTGTCCTCTCCCGCTCCTGCCCATCGCCCCCACCCTCGCCCGGCTCCACTGGCTCCCCATCCTCCAGAGGATACAGTTCAAAATCCTCGTCCTCGTCTTCAAACCCCTCCATGGCCTCGCTCCCCCCTACCTCTGTGACCTAATAACCCCATATCAAACCCGTCTGCTCCCTCCGCTCAGCAGCTCTGGTTGCTCCACGTGCCCCACCATCGGGGGTCAGGTCTTCAGCCTCTGTGCCCCCACCCTCTGAAACTCCATCCCACAGTCCCTTCACCTTGCTTCTCCCCTGCCTCAAACAAGCCCCATCTCAAGACCTTCCTCTTCGACCGCCCCTTCGGTCATCTTCCCTCCTCCACTCCCCTTGCCCTCCACCCTCCTGATCCCAAACCCCAATTTGTGTGCAGGTTGCGCCTTGGGGTGCACTGCTGACGTGAAAGGCGCTGTGTCAATGTAATTTGTTGTTGTAGCCTGTGAATGCTCTCCTATTTACTATGAGGCTGTGTGTTTGTGAGGTTGTGTGTGTGTGTGTGTATGTATGTGGGAGGGTGAGGGTGTGAGTGAGGTTGTGTGTGAGGGTGAGATTGTGTTTGTGAGTGTGTGCGAGGGTACGTGTATGTGTGAGGGTGTGCATGTGTGAGGGTGTGAGTGAGGTTGTATGTGTGAGGGTGAGGTTGTGCTTGTGAGGCTGTGTGTGAGGGTGTGTGTGTGTGTGCATGTGTGAGGCTGTGAGTGAGGTTATGTATGTGTGAGGGTGTGTGTATGTTTGGTTTGTGTGTGAGTGTGTGTGTGTGTGTGAGGGTGTGTGTGTGTGTGAGGTTATGTATGTGTGAGGGTGTGTGTGTATGTTTGAGGGCATGTGTGAGGTTGTGTATGTGTGAGGGTGTGTGTGTGTGTGAGGGGTGTGTATGTGTGAGGGTGTGTATGTGTGCGTGTTTGTGTGACGGTGTGTGTGTATGTGTGAGGGTGAGTATGTGTGAGGGTGACCCCTGTGCTTGTTGTTCACAGACGGTCTCTTCGTCACGGACTACTTTACGCGGACGCCGCGGAAGCTGAACCCCTTCACCTCCTTTGCCAGTGTGGAGCTCTTTCATTTCCACATGCCCGAAGATACAGTGGTGGCCGTCTGGAACCTCATCACCTTCAAGGAGCAGGGGGGCAACTTTGGGGACACCTGTCCCGACCGGGACATCACCGTGTGAGTAACCCCCCTTCCCCCCCGCCCACAGTATAGTGTGAGTAACCCCCCCCACTCTCCCCCCCACCCACAGTATAGTGTGAGTACATCCCCCTCTTCTCCGCGATATAAAGACCTCAGTCAGGGAACCTCCCTGCCTTGATCCCACTAAGCTCCCATCACCTCCATCCTCGCCCGGCTTCACTGGCTCCCCGTCTCCCAGAGGATAGAGTTTAAGATCCTTGTCCTCGCTTTCAAAGCCCTCCACGGTCTTGCTCCTCCCCAGCTCTGCGACCTACTAAAATCCTTACCAATCTTTCCCTCCGTTCAGCAGATACTGGTCTGCTCCACGTCCCCCGCCAGGCCCCACCGCGCAATCGGAACACTATCCCAGAGCCCCTCCACCTTGCTCCCTCCCTTGCCTCCTTGAAGGTCTTTCTCAAGACCTTCCTCTTCAACCACGTTGTCAGTCATCTTCCCTCCTCCACCCCCACAGCTCCCATCCCTGTCTGATCCCAACCCCAGCTCGGGCTCAAAGCCTTGACTGTCCAGTGCCTTGGGATGGCCTCCGACGGGAAACGCGCTGTGTCAATGTCATTTGTTGTTGTTGGTTCATTTCCACCTAATTCTTTGTCTCTGCCACTTTCTCTCTCTCTTTCTCTCTCTTTGTCTGTCTCTGTCTCTCTCTCTCTCTTTGTCTCTCTCTGTCTCTCTCACTCTCTGTCTCTTTCTCTCTCTTTGTCTCTTTCATTTTCTCTCTTTCTCTCTCTCTCTCTCTTTCTGTCTCTCTCTGTCTCTATCACTTTCTGTCTCTCTCACTCTCTGTCTCTTTCTCTCTCTCTCTCTGTGTCTTTCTCACTCTCCCTCCGTCTGTCTCTCTCTGTCTCCAGGTATTACCGGGCTGGGGCTCCGCCGGTAATTAACCCTCTCCACACCCGATTCCCGCAAGATACTGTCATCCCCAGCTCCTTCACCGTCACCCTGACCTGGACTCTGCCCAACCGCACCACCGGGGTCTTCAACGTGAGCAGCCCCCTGCCCGGGGACTGGTTCCTGGCTGCCCACCTGCCCAAGGATGAGGGCAAGATCTCAGTCAAGGCACGTGTTCACTCCTCCAGTCAAGCCTCTGTCCTAACCCCAATCCCCTGCTCTTTCCCAATTCCCTCAAATTCCCTATTAACCCGGTTGTTAGTCGTTTGGCAGATAGCTTTCCCGGGGGTAATAATCCCATAATAATCACTCAATCCACCACTGTTTGTGGGACGCTGCTGTGCACAATTTGCTGCCGCGTTTCGCCCACCAAACACACAGTCGATTGACTTTACAATATATTCTGTGAAGCGCTGTGAGACGTCTTGGTGACGTGATAAGGCGATATATCGAATGCAAGGATTATTATTATTTTTATCAGAGTGCCGTAGTGTAGTGGTTCGAGCACTCGCCTCCCAAGCGAGAGGACCTGGGTTTGATTCCCGGCAGGGTGAAACACTGGGTAGGTTTCCTTACTCCACACGCCTCTGTTCATCCAACTGTAAGGAAGAACCAGATAATTAACATGAACGAGCTAGCGATCGGTACACATCTCCCCCCCCCCCCCACTCCCAACCGTTACCACTGCATTGAATGTGGGAAATGTAATAATAATCCTAGTATTTGATATAGCGCCTTTATCACGTCTTCGAGGCGTCTCAATGCGCTTCACAGAATATGTTGTAAAGTGAATTGACTGCATGTTTTGTGGGCGAAACGCGGCAGCCGATTGCGCACAGCAGTGTGGTCTACAGCAATGTAGTATTGATCCGTCGACGCAAGCGCAGAAGAACTTCATTGCCAGCGTTTCAATGCGATTCCAACACTTGCCGGGAAGTGTAAAGCGGCGACGGGACGAGACGCATTCAATCGCGGGAAATGTAGTCTTGACCCGTCGCTGCAGGTGCATTTACCGGCTACTGGGAATTACTGATCGATTAGATTATTGATTAAGTTGGATTTTAGACGATTTATACAGTTTGCCTGCAGCTCGGACTTCACGTAAATCATGTTCAATGTTATGGTCCCAAGTGGTACGACTTAGGTGAGTTTTACCGTGTACGAGGCCCTTTGTGTGGGTTAGTGTCTCGGAGCACTTAACGTTGGTGAGGTCTGTCCGAGAGAGGGAGAGGGTGGGGAGGTGATGATGACTGTGATTTAAATACAGACAAAAGGGTTGCGAGGCGGAGGGCAGAGGTCCGGAGTCTCCCTTCCTGACTGAGTCCGGCAAGACCGGTCAGGTCTCAAGACCTTTCTCTTTGACCGTGCCTTCAGCTCTCCTCTCGACTCTCTGCCCCCTCCTCGCTCCCTCCCTTCCCTCCCCTCACCCTGACCATTTCCCCCCTCCTCGCTCCTTCCCCTCCCCTCACCCTGACCATTTCCCCCAATGCTCGGGTCCTGACCCAACTGTGCAGCGCCTTGGGACGTCCTCCCGACATGAAAGGCGCTCAATAAATGGAATCTTGTTGTTGTTGTTGTTGTTGAGTGGCTGATGGAGTTTGGGGCCGGTGAGGATGTGGGTGGTGGAGTTTGAGTTGGCATCACTAATGTCTTTCCCCTACCCCTCCCACTCTCTGCCCCTTCCTCCCTCTGCCCCTCCCTCCCTCTGCCCCCCTCTCTCTCTCTGCCCATCCTTCTCTCTCCGCCTCCCTCTCTCTGCCCCATCCCTCTCCCTGGCCCTCCCCGCGCCTACCTCTATCCCTCCGCCTTCTCTCTGTACCTCCCCCACGTCTCCCTCTACCCATCCTCCTTCTCCCTCTGCTCCTCCCCTCCCCCATCCTATCTCTGCCGCTCCCACTTCTCTCTCTGCTCCCCCCTCCCCATGCCCCTCCGCCGCTCTCCCCGTCACAGGGCCTCTATGAGGAATGTCAGTACCTGTTCCAGCCACAGCTGATTGTGCAGCGACTGATCGGGATTCCCGTGCTGTATCCCGGTTACGTCATTGACCAGTTAATCCCCGCTCACAACCGCTCGGCTCTGTACAAGTAAGTGACGCCAGCGCCGCGACCGAATGGCGGCCATTTTACACCGCCAGGTCCTGCGCTCTCCGGCGCTCAGCATAAATGAGCTGCCGCGTACGCCCACAAAATACGCAGTCACTGCAATGCTGTACAGGCGCTGTATCAAATGTAAGCGTTATTCTTATTGGCCTGGCACAGCCTGGTAACTCTCTCGTATCTGAGTCAGAAGGTTGTGGGTTCAAGACCCCACGAAGGGACTTGGAATCACATAGTCTAAGACAACGTTCCAATGAGGTGACACATTGAACCCAGGTTGCCTCTGCCTGTTGAGACGGATGTTAAAGATCTCATGGTGCAATCCTGCTGTCCTGGCCAACAATCCCCCAAATAAAACCTGAGGCCAGTTCCTTACCCCACACACCTCTTGGTTACCCAGCCATAAGTAGGAACCTAATTGATTGGTGGATCACTTTCCAGGGATAATAATCCTTCAATAAAAATTGGTCACTCAATCCACGAGTGTTTGTAGATCACTGCTGTGGGCTATTAGCTGCCGCGTTTCGCCCACAAGTCACACAGAAACTACAGAGGTATTTTCTGTGAAGTGCTTCGAGACGTCTCAACGAAGTGATAAGGCGCTCTATCACGTGCAAGTGTTGTATGTTATTATTTGTTGTTGTTGTTGTTGTGATGATGTGGGAGTTGGTGATGGCTTGTGTTGTGGTCCAGGGTGTTTGTGCCCAGTTATACCTCTGCAGTGACGGTGCAGCTGATCGGCTGCCGGAGCAGGAACCGGACGGTGGGGGCATGCCCCATCTCCCTGAAGATCCGAGCCAGAGCCCCACCTCTCCACAACTCCTCCCACGCTGACTGCTCCGCCCTCCCCACCTGCCAGCTCCACCACAGCCCCCCCCACTGGCAGCAATGGTACTACATCCTGGTGGAGCGCTCCCTCCCCAATCTCCAGGTGCACTTCCGCATTGGGGTCCACATCAAAGGTAGGGAACTCCCCCACCCCTTCACCCCATTCTCTTCTTCGCTCTCCCTCTCCACCATTCCTCATCCCACCGCCAGCTCGGGTGCACATCCTTCACTGTCCTGGGACGTCCTCCCGACGTGAAAGCACTATACGAATGTAATTTAATTGCTCTGCGGTATATTTTTTATGGAGAACTTTTTTAAAATTAAATTGGCTAAACAAAGAGTGGCAGCACAGGCCAGCTGGGCTGAATGGCCTCCCTCTGTGTCTGGTGAGGACACAGCTGATATCACAGCGTTAGAGACAGAGGAGAGGAGGAGAGCGGAGTCAGGCAACAGAATAGATGGCTCACAGGAGCTTTAATAAAAGCTGCCACCACTGCACTGGTGAGAGAGTGAGGGAGGGATGGAGTGAGAGAGGGAGTGGGGCCGAGGGAGTAAATGAGTGAAAGTGGAAGGGATAGAGGGAGGCATTGCATGATGGACGAGAGCTTTTATGAGTAAATATTTATAAATCAAGTCCAACTGTTGGCATTATGGCATCTGGAAAGATATGTAAATGCGGGTGTGACAGATTGGTGGATTATTGAATTACTCGTGATTCAGGAAGGGATCAGACTGAGCGCAGATACTGACTCACAGACGCCTGTGTCACACGCATGGTGCTATATTTTTCACACTCGCTCGCAGCCTCACCAGAGGGAAACGTCTGGCGTAAATTAACCCTAGGAGGTCCTTTGGCGAACCGCAAACTATACCCAGGAATCCTCAGAGTGAGGCCTTCTGGCCCTTCATGTCCGTAGGATGTGGGTTCAAGCCCACTTTGGGGACGCTGAGCTCACAGTCCAGGCTGACAGAATAAGAGCGTGGGCAGGTACGACATTATTCATCGACTCCCTGGTGGAAGAGGCTTCACGTCAGACAATGTGCTGAGGACAGCAAACTGAGCAGCGCTAGCGGGAGGTCAGGTTAGTGATGGACCTTCAAGTGACAGTGTTATCTCTGGAGAAGAGGAGGTAGTTCTCATTGTGTGAAGAGGGATAGAAAGGATTCTTTTTTGTCAGCCGGGTGTCTGATACATGCAGAAACCCTTCACCGTTGCTTAAGGCTCTGCAAATCAAATTGAGAATTCCATATATCCCACCTACACATAGAAATCCTAGAGGTTGATTATTGGAATGGAAAACATTCTCTCCCTCTCTCTCACTCGCTGGAGAAGCGCAGCCTCTTTACCTAATTCCGCAGAGTATTAGGTGCAGTTGGCAAGAGCCAAGGCTTGGGGGGACCCCAGAGTGTGTGTTGGGGTAACTGCTGGAGTCTTACCAGCTAAAACCACACAGCTTATCCTTGATATCACTGTCTGACAAGCTTTCCTGCTGCTTGACCAGCTAGGACCACCCTACCGGTTAGGGCTTTGGCTGCAGGGTTACCAGGAGCTGAGTGGGAGAATTCCCTGCCCCCAGTGACTGGTCTGCTCTTCCAACAACAACAACAAAATTACATGCGTAAAGTGCCTTTCACGTCAGGGGACGTCCCAAGGCGCTGGAGAGTCAGTGTTTCGGACCCGAGCTGGGGTTCGGAATTGGGGAGGGTGGAGATAGGGGGGGAAGCAGGGTGATTGAAAGCATGGTCGAAGAGGAGGGTCTTGAGATAGGTCTTGAAGGAGGCAAGGGAGGGGGCGAGGCAGAGGGACTACTGGATGGAGTTCCAGGTGGTGGGAGCAGAGTGGAAGAATGCCCGCCCACCAATTGTGGGACGGGCGAGGTGGGGGACGTGAAGCAGGCCGGTGCCTGCTGAGCGGAGACAGCGAGCAGGATGGTAGGGGGTTAGGAAGTCTCAGAGGCAGGTGGAAGCAAGTCTATGGAGGGCTTTGAAGGTGAGGGCCAGGATCTTGAACTGTATCCTCAGTGTGATGGGAAGCCAGTGGAGTCGGGCGAGGATGGGGTTGATAGGGTCACAGAGCCTGGTGCAGGAGAGGACATGGGCTGCAGAGTTCTGGATGATTTGCAGCCTATTGAGGGAGGAGTTGGGGAGGCCAACAAACAAGGAGTTTGCATAGTTGAGCCTGGATGTTATGAATGTGTGTCTGAGGGTTTCGGTGACCTGGGGTGTGAGGCAATGGCGGAGCCGGGCATTGTTGCGGAGGTGGGGGAAGGGAGAGCGGGTCATGGCGCAGATGTGGAGTAGAAAGGATAGTTGAGGGTCAAACAAGACCCCAAAGTTCCGGACTGGCTTTAGTGAGATGGAATGTGAAACCATGGAGGGTGTCCGAGTCCTCATATCCGCGCCACAACTGGTACCGCCTTCCATCACCTCCGGAATGTCGCCAGACTACGGCACTACCTCACCCCCCACGCGGCTGAAACTCTGGTCCACACCTTTATCACCTCAAGGCTGGACTATGGGAACTCTCTCCTCGCTGGCCTTACCGGCCCTCCCTCCACATGGCAGGTCATTCAGAACTCTGCAGCTCGTGTACTGTCCCGCACCAGGACACCGGCGACCACATCACTCCCACCCCTCGGCTCACCCCCACTGGCTCCCCATCCCCCAGAGGATCGATTTCAAGATCCTCATCCTCACCTACAAGGCCATTCACGGCCTCGTCCTCCTACCTCTCCGACCTACTATCCCCCTACCTACCTGCCCGTACCCTCCGTTCCTCTGGCTCCGGTCTGCTCCACATCCCCCGCCCCAACCGCCTGACCATCGGTGGCCTTCAGCCTCTCAGCCCCGAGGCTCTGGAACTCTATCCCCAGTGCCTTCGCCGCCTCCTCCCTTTCCTCCTTCAAGACCGGTCTCAAGACCTTTCTCTTTGACTGTGCCTTCAGCTCCCCTCTCGACTCTCTACCCCCTCCTCGCCCCCCCCCCCCCCCCCCCCCTTCCCCCCCCCCCCCCCCCCCCCTCCCCTCCACTCCCTCCCTTCCCTCCCCTCGCCCTGACCATTCCCCCCTGCTCGGGTCATAACCCAACTGTGCAGCGCCTTGGGACGTCCTCCCGACGTGAAAGGCGCTCTATAAATGGAATCTTGTTGTTGTTGTTGTTGTGTTGTTGTTGCTGTCAATGCCTGAGGTGTGGAAACGCTGACAGGAGCCAATCAAGAAAGCCTCGGTCTTGTTGACATTCAACTGAAGAAAGTTCCAGGTCCTGCCAAGGAGAATAGTCACCAGTTGGTTATTTTACATCCGATCATTGCGGTTTTGAGCCTCAATGGGTGGAGGTCAGGAGATCTTTAGATCTTGTGATATTCATCAGTGACAGCCTGATCACAACTGGCGGCTGACCTCCTGCACCTCCCCTGCGTATCCCCCAGAATTACTGTACCAGTCCGCAACCTTGGCTTCCAGTTCGACCCACAGCTGTACTTCCTTCTCCACATTTGGTCCCAGACCAGCACCGCCTTTCTCCACCTCCGCCATATTGCCCGCCTCTAACTGCACCTTACCCCAGATGCAGCCAAAATTCTTGCTCATACCTTCGTCACCTCCTGACTCGGTCTCCCCAACTCCACCATACTCAGGATCCATTTGATCCAAAACTCTGCTGCCCCCATACTTACCCGCACTAACTTTGCAGCCCCATCACACCAGTGCTAGCCAAGCTCCACTGGTTCCCTATCGCCAAATGGATCGATTTCAAGATTCTCACACTTTTTTTCAAATCTCTTCATGCCTGGCACCTCCCTACCTCTCTGACCTGCTTAACCCCACCCAACCCACTACCTGCTGCCTCCGCTCGACTGGCTCTGGCCTCCTGCATGTCCCTCGTGCCCTCCATTCCACCATTGGTGGCCGCGCTTTCAGCCACTACAACCTGAAGCTCAGGAACACTCTTCCTCTATCCCTCCGCCTTGCTCCTTCCTTCCCCATCTTCAGGTCGCGTCTGAAGATTTTCCTATTCAACCGTGCTTACGGTCACTTCCCCCCACCCTCTGGCTCAGCATCGTGCGCTGCCACTGTCAAGTGCTCTGGGACGCTGCCCTGTGTGAGGGACACTATTTAAATGCAAGTTGTTGTTGATGATGATAATGCTGAGAGCTCCAGTGGGGAGGGAGCACCAGCATAGACACGATGGGGAGAGAGCAGGGAATGGGGTTAGAGTAGAGAGCTCCAGTGGGGGAGAGCGCTGCATTGTTGGAGATCGCGTCTTTTGAATGGTGGACTGTTGTGTTTGTTTGCCTCACAAATGCACAGTCACTACACCAAACTATAGTACCCTGTAATGCGCCGGGTGGGGTTTCGGCGTGACAGGCTCTGAACGGAGGGAGGTGATTTCCGTCTTGTTTCTATACCGACCTGTCCGCTCCCTCTGCTCAGCAGGCTCCGGCCTGCTCCACGTCCCCCGCCCGGCCCAACCCACCATCAGCCTTCATGCCTTCAGCCTCTCTACTCCCCACCCTTTGGAACTCCATTGCACAGTCCCTTCGCCTCATCTCCTCCCTGGCCTCCTTCAAGGCCCGTCTCAAGACCCTCCTCCTCAACCGCACCTTCAGCCACCCTCCTACCTCTACCCTCCTGCCCTCCACCCCTCCTGATCCCAACCACAACTCGGGTCCAAATCCCTGACTGTCCAGCACCTTGGACGTCCTCCTGATGTGAAAGGTGTTGTGTAAATGTAATGTGTTGTTGTTGTTTACAGACTGTTCCAAGCCGGCCATCTCCAGGGGGATCTCTCTCCTCATCACCTCAACCCTCAACATGCCTCAGTCCTTTGGCTCCCCCGGGGGTCCCTCCGTGCTCCGGAACCTTCCGGTGACGGGGATGAACCTGAACCAGCTCAATGTCTCGGAGGGAAGCCCCTCGCGATCCCCCGAGGAGGAGGTTGGTCCGCGGGGAGAGGTTGCTGGGGGAGACGGGTGTTGGCCTGTCAGGCCTACCCTGAGGAACGAGCTGGACACTTTCTCCGTCCATTTCTACATCTTCTTTGGGCCCAACGTCTCGGTCCCTCCTGACAAACCAGCCGTGTTCCTCATCAACCTGGTGCCTGTGCTGGACAGCGGGGGGGTGCTCAACATGGAGATCCGGCTCAACACAGTGAGTGTGGGAGGTGGGGGGGGGGTGGAGATCGCACGACCGAACCAAAAGATCATCACCGCACATTGCACGTCGGGGGCACAAGTCAAAGCGATTCACAGCATTTACTGTAAAGTGTAGCGACTGTGTGTTTCATAGGTGAACGCGGCGGCCAATTTGCACACAGTGGGAAGCGCTTTGGGACGTTGTGAAAGGGGCCGATGGAAGGATTGCATGAAGCCCAGGCCTCGACGGCCCCCAATGTTGTAGGGAAAGCTGTGTGTTTGGGGGGTGGGAGGGGGTCAGCGTGACAGACAAGCCGAGGACCACAGTCCTGCTCAGCAACCATCGGTCACTGGTTCCTCTGACAGTGTGGTACACAGGAACAGGGTAGGCTGGTCACCAAAGCAACACCATAGCCCATCTCCACATTACGGAGCCGCAGGGCACAGAAATCCATCTGGGTTTTTGACTATTTTTGCACCTTAATACGGAGCCCCGCGGTGTGGTGGTTAGAGCCCTCGCCTCACAAGCCAGAGGACCCGGGTTCGATTCCCGGGCGGTGCGAAACCTTAGGCAAGTTTCCTTACTCCACTCGCCTCTATTTCTCCAGCACTAAGTAGGAACTCAGTTGTTAGTCGATTAGCGGATCACTATCTGGGGAGGGTAATAATCCTTCCCCCCCCAAAAATAATTATAATAATTTGGTCACTCAATCCACGACTGTTTGTGGGACGCAGCTGTGCGCAATCAGCTGCCGCATTTCGCCCGCGAAACCCGCAGTCACTGCACTTCGCAGTGTGCTCTGTGAACCACTTCGAGGCGTCTCGAAGGCGTGATGAGGCGCGATATCAAATGCAAGGATTATGATTAGTAAAGTGTTCTGGTAACGGGGATTGGGGGGTTAATTAGCCGAGGAAGTGAAGCCGAGATTCCTGCTGTAGGTTGTTGGCCGGGCACTAAGCCTCTTATCTCTCGGCTTGGCACAGGCACCGTCTCCTTGGCTGTGACAGGCTTACACTCATTGCGCTTGTAACTCATTTGCGTTGATGAATAATTACGTGTAAGTGTCAGCACTCACTGAGCACAGGCTGGATACTGGCTGCTTTACAGGGGAAACAGGAGACAGATGGCTCTGCTTTGGTGTCTCAGCTCCTCACGCTCTGGATCAGGAAGCCGTGGGTTCGAGCCCCCACCCCATCCAAGCCAGAGATTCCGAGCTCACAGTATGGACTGATCAACGCTGGGGGGGATAATAATCCTTGATAGAGCCTTATCAGTTGTGCCCAGCAAGACATCCCCCAAAAAGCCATGGAGTGAGGGACTAACTTTATTTGAGGGATTGTTGACCAGGAGAGAGAAACTCCCTTCTCTTTTCGAGTCCTGTGGAGTCCTGTAGCTCAGTGGTTAGAGTTCAATTCCAGGCAGAGGGCGAAACCTTGGGCAAGTTTCCTTACTCCACACAGAGCCTAATAATAATCCCTCCAAAACAAAACAATAATAAATTGGTCATTTTCAATCCCACGACTGTTTGTGGGACATTGCTGTGCGCAATTGGCTGCCGCGTTCACCCACAAATATACAGTCAATTCACTTTACAGTGAGTTCTGTGAAGCGCTTTGGGATGTCCTCCCGACGTGAAAAGCGCTATATCAAATGCAAGGATTATTATTATTATTATTATAGCGCCGTGGGATCTTTAACGTCCATCTGGACAGACAGACGGGACCTCGGTTTAACGTCACATCTGAAGGATGGTACCTCCGACAATGCAACCCCCCCACCCCCCAGCATTAGCTTAGACTGTGTGATTCCAAGCCCAAACGTGGGGTTTGAGCCCACAACCTTCCGCTGCCAATGTGCCAGGCTGACACACATACGAGATGTTAAACCGAGCTCCCATCTGCCTGTCCAGGTGGATGTTAAAGATCCCGCAGCGCTATTGGAAAGGAGAAAGGAGTTTCTCTCTCCCGGTGTCCTGGCCAACAATCCTTCAATAAGATTAATCGCTCACTTCATGGCTGTTTGTTGGACATTGCTGTGTGCAAGTTGGCTTCTGGGTCTAAAAGATACAGTCACTACACTTTACAGTAAATCCTGTGAAGCGCTTTAAGACGTCGTCTGGACACGAAAGCACTGTATCATTCACTTCAGTTGTTTGTGAGACGTTGCTGTGCTGCTACGCCTGCTACAAATGTACAGTTACTACACCTTACAGAAACTTTATGAATGGCTCTGAGAGATTGTATTAAACACCAGTATTATTGTCACCGTGTGTGTGTGTGTGTGTTTAATCCTCACCTCTCCTTTTTCAGTCCTCAGTGACAGGAGACAACGTGACAGTATTTGGTTGCCTGAACCACGGGATGCCTTTGACATCGACAGACAACACATCACTCAGCTGCGCGTCAGGTAAGTTAGGGCCTGAGAGGCTGCAGGGAATTTTCACTGGAGCTGAGAGGGTTAAAGGGCAGACTGATTGAGGACGTCAAGGTCACAAAGGGTTACGAGAGTGAATGATGGTCGATCATTTCACAGTTGGCGAGTCAGTTACCAGAGCATGGAGTTGTACGTCGCTTCTGAGTCACAAGATTGTGGGTTCGACCCCCAGGTCGGGGTCTCTGAGCTCACAATCTAGGCTGATGCTCCAGTCCAGTGCTGGGGGGGGGTGGAGGGGGGAGAGAGAGGGAGAGAGCGCCATGTTGTCAGAGATGCCGTCCTCTGGGTGTGGACCTGCCTCTACAATCTCACCACATCAGGACCGTGAGAACCTCTCTCAAAGGCTGGTCTCTCCTTTGCCACATGGCATGTCAGTCCCTGGTAAAGTCTGAGATCGGCTTCTTCTTTTCCCCAAGAGCAGGTTTGTGTTCTCGCTTGGCAGGGAAGCGAATGGCAGGGAAGCCACTATCACCCCCACCTTGAAGAAACCTTCCCTCGACCCATCACAGCTATCCAGCTACCGGCCCATCTCAAATCTCCCGTTGCTATCCAAGGTCCTTGAGAGAGCCGTTACCTCCCAGCTTCGCTCTTTCCTCTCCTCTCACTCTTCTCTGGTCAAGGTCACAAACGACATCCTGACTATGTGTGACCAGGGCTCCCTCTGCCTCCTCATCCTCCTCGACCTCTCCGCCGCCTTTGACACCGTGGACCACTCAATTCTCCTCCACCACCTCTCCTCCCACCTCAACCTTCAAGGTTCTCTCCTTGACTGGTTCAGGTCCTACCTTTCGCACCACCTCCACTTCGTCGCGGCAAATGGCTTCTCATCCAACCCCGCACTGTCTTGTGCGGTGTTCCTCAGGACTCTGTCCTCGGGCCCCTCCTCTTCACCCTCTAGATGCTCCCCTTGGTGACATCATCCGCAGATATGGGGTAAATTTCCACATGTATGCGGATGACACCCAACTCTATCTCTCTGCCTCCACCCTGAACTCCAGGACTACTGGTGTCCTGACCGACTGCCTGTCCGACATCAAGTCCTGGACATGCGGAAACTTTCTCCAAATCAACATCAGCAAGACCAAGGCCCTCCTGATTGGCTCGTGCCAGCGCCTCCGCACCTCATGCGCTGGCAGCATCAGATGCTCAACCTCACTAAACCAGTCAAGAACCTGGGTGTCTTGTTTGACCCTGAACTGTCCTTTCTCCCCCACATCTGCGCCATGACCGGCACTGCCTACCACCACCTCCGCAACATTGCCAGACTCCGCCACTGCCTCACCTCTCAGGATGCCCAAACCCTCACCCATGCATCAAGGCTCGATTACGGGAACTCCCTACTATCGGCCTTCCCAACTCTTCTTTTCACAAGCTGTAGATCATCCAAAACTCTGCAGCTCGTGTACTCTCACGCACCAGGGCTGCGTGACCCCATCACTCCCACCCTCACCCGACTCCAGTGGTTCCCCATCCCCCAGAGGATTGAATTCAAGATCCTCGTTCTCACCTTGAAGGCCATCCATGGCCTTGCCCCCACCTACCTCTCTGACCTGCTGACTCCCTACCAACCTGCTCGCTCCCTCCGTTCATCGGGCTCCGGCCTGCTCCATGTCTCTCGCCCGACCCGCCCTAACATTGGTGGCCGGGATTTCAGCCTCTCTGCCCCCACACTCGGGAACTCCATCCCACGGTCCCTTCGCCTCACTTGTTGTTGGCATGGTGGGTGATGGTCCTTTGTGTTGAGATGGGTACCATGGAGTTGAAGAGCTTATGGACCCAAAGACAAATGTTGATCATTGACCAGGACCTGCTGGCAGTGAGAGTCGCCGCATGCTTTGCTAACCTCACCTGGGCGCAGATACTCTGAGGGAGAGACACAGACATTCCTCCACTAATGGGGCTGTGGTTAGAGCAATGGCCTCGCAAGTGAGAGGACTTGGGTTCGATTCCTGGGCAGGACCAAACCGGAGGGAAGTTTCCACATGTGTCTGTTTACCTAGGAGTATCCAGGAACACGGTTGTTAGTTGATTGGCCGATCGCTTTCCTGGGGGTAATGATCCCTTTTAAAAATAATAATAATAATAATACTTTGGCTGCTCAAACCACAACTGTGTGTGGGACACTGCTGTGCGCACTTGGCTGCCGTGTTTTGCCCACAAAATACACAGTCACTGGACTTTACAGTATATCCTGTGAAGCGCTTTGAGACGTCTCATCGACGTGATGAGGAGCTAAATCAAGAGCAAGGATTATTAATATTTTTATTCATGTGGTGCCCCCTCTCCCATCTCTTCCAGAATCTTCCGTGGGGTTTCTCCTCGTGGTGAACGCTACCTCCAACGTTGCCAGGCTGCGGATCCCGTACCCCCAGACAGGAAGCTGGTACATCAGCCTGCGTTCCCTGTGCTCCACAGACCTGGGGTAAGGCCACATTCCCCTTTGGATAGAGACACAGTCACACCCTGGCAACTCGCTGCCCACAACCCACTCCCTGCTGTTTGCTGCTCACAGGGAGGCTACATGGTCCAGGGTTCGAGAGGGAAAACCAGCCAGGGTTCCTGCTCCTGGGCCGTACAGCACCCTCCAGCGTGGGGCAGCTGGGTGGGCAGAGGTCAGGCTCGGCTGTGACACCCTCCACAGTCGACTGACATGACAGTCCAGGGGCCGTCTCTCTCACTCTCCTGTCTCGCTCACTCTCCTCTGTCTCGCTCGCTCTCCTCTGTCTCGCTCACTCTCCTGTCTCACTCACTCTCCTCTGTCTCACTCACTCTCCTCTGTCTCGCTCCCTCTCCTCTATCTCTCTCACTCTCCTGTCTCACTCACTCTCCTCTGTCTCGCTCACTCTCCTCTGTCTCGCTCCCTCTCCTCTATCTCTCTCACTCTCCTGTCTCACTCACTCTCCTCTGTCTCGCTCACTCCTCTGTCTCGCTCACTCTCCTGTCTCACTCACTCTCCTCTGTCTCGCTCGCTCTCCTCTGTCTCTCATTCTGCTCAGTCTCTCTCACTCTCTCTCTCTCGCTCTCTCTGTCCCAGGTTTGAGGAGTGCAGTAATGTGAGTGCGGAGGTGAAAGTACGGAGCTTCCTGACGCCGTGTATCAATGAATGTGGAGCCTACGGGCAGTGCAAACTGCTCCGCACCAACAACTACCTGTACGCAGCCTGCGAGTGTAAAGCAGGTGTGACTCCAGGGGGCTGTGTGTGTGTGTGCGCGCGGTGGAGGGGGAGGGTATGTGTGTGCGGTGAGTGTGTATGAGGTGGGGAGCGTGTGTGTGAGGGGTGAGTGTGTGGGTGTACGCGGTGGGAGTGTGTCTGGGGTGGGGGGTGGCAATGTGTGTGTGTGTACGTGGGGGGGAGTCTGTGTAACACTGTGCTGTGTTACAGGGTGGAATGGCTGGGGTTGCACTGATAACCTCTACGCCCTGTCCTACGGGTTCCAGTTGTTGGCCACACTCCTCCTGTGCCTCAGTAACCTCATGTTTGTACCGCCCGTGGCCATCGCTGTCCGCAGCCAATACCTGCTGGAGGCCTCGGTCTACACCTTCACCATGTTCTTCTCCACGGTCAGTGTCCATCAGTGCTCTCATTACCCACAAAATACACAGTCACTTCACTTTACAGTATATTATGAAGCGCTTTGAGACGTCTCAGCGACGTGACAAGGCGCTATATCAGATGCAATGATTATTATTATTATCTATAGTGACCAATAGGCCTCTAGCGCCTTGGGACGTCCTCCTGATGTGAAAGGCGCTATACAAATGTAAATTGTTGTTGGTTGTTTGTTGATGCACTGCGAAGTGATGGGATGTGTTTGCGATGTGAGGTGTAGTGACTGACACAGTCATGTGTTGCTGGCAGTTTTATCACGCGTGTGACCAGCCGGGGGTGGTGGTGCTGTGTATTATGGACTATGACGTGCTGCAGTTCTGTGATTTCCTGGGCTCCATGATGTCCGTCTGGGTGACCGTCATCGCCATGGCGAGGCTACAGCCGATCATCAAACAGGTGGGTCCCCGGCACTGGCACCTGACCTCCCCTACCACAGCCAGCGCTGACCCCTGAACCCTGCCCTCAGCCAGTGCTGACCCCTGAACCCTGCCCTCAGCCAGCGCTGACCCCTGAACCCTGCCCTCAGCCAGTGCTGACCCCTGAACCCTGCCCTCAGCCACCACTGACCTCTGAACCTTGCCCACTGCCAGCACTGACCCCTGAACCCTGCCCTCAGCCAGCACTGACCTCTGAACCTTGCCCACTGCCAGCACTGACCCTTGAACCCTGCCCTCAGCCAGTACTGACCCCTGAACCCCGCCCTCAGTCAGCACTGACCCCTGAGCCCTGTCCACAGCCAGTGCTGACCCCTGAGCCCTGCCCACACCAACGCTGACCCCTGAAGTCCTGCCCCTGACCAGTGCTGACCCCTGGTCCTCCAGATGAAATTGCTATTCACTTTGAGGCTGGACATCGCTGGGCACAAATTGGCTGCGTGCTCGTGCACAACAAAAAAGCAGTCACTACGCTTTATTGTAAATCTTGCGAAGCACTTTGAGACGTCCTTCTTCTGACATGAAAACTCACTCCCTCAATCCCTCTGCTCCCCCTCACGGCTGAGAACCTCCTGCTTCAACTGTGCGTGGGGGCATCTCCCCCACCCCCAGGCTCAGCTTCAGGCTCTACCCAGTGCTCCGAAACGCTACCTCGCGTGAAGGGCGCTGTGTAAGTTGTTGTTGAATGGAGTTGAATCAGATGTAAGATTATTATTATTATTAATAACCCCATCATTTGGTGCTTTGTATGGTTTGGTCTGTCCTGGTGGTGACTCTGACCGTTCCTCTTTGCTCTTCTCAGATCCTGTACCTCCTCGGCGCCATGTTGCTCTCCATGGCTTTACAGCTGGACAGACACGGGCTGTGGAACCTCCTGGGCCCCAGTCTCTTCGCCCTCGGGATCATGGCCATCGCCTGGGTAAGCAACATAAGAAAACAACATCAATCATGAAATATTCAATGCAAACGCAGTACCTATAAATACAGACTTACCTAGACTCGTGCGAATGATGGGGACGGAGGGTGGGGGTGGGATTCTTGATGGCCTTGAGGGCCATAGGTTGGCCAACACTGATTTAAGGAATATTTGCGGATGTTATCACTCACAGAATTTACTGTGAAGTGTAGTGATTGCTTTTTTTTGTGGACACAACCAATTTGTGCCAAGGGATGTCCCAGCCTCAAAGTGAATAGCAATTTTATTGGGAGGATTATGGGGTCAGCGCTGGTCGGGGTTGGAACGTTATCACATCGTTGAGACGTCTCAAAGCACTTCACGAAATATATGTTTAAGTGAATCGACTGTATATTTTGTGGGCCAAACGTGACAGTCAATTTGCCCACAGTCATTGATTGAGTGTCCAAATTACAGGGTTTCTTTTTAGGGATTATTACCCCTGGAAAGTGATCCCGCAATCGACTAACAACCGGGTCCTACTTACTTCAATAAACAGAGGCGTGTGGAGTAAGCAAACTTGCCGAAGGTTTTGCCCCGCCTGGGAATCAAACCCAGCGAGCGCTCTAACCACTGCACTACAGTGCAGTGGAGTCGTGTAGCTCAGTGGTTAGAGCACTCGCTTTGCAAGTGAGAGACCGGAGTTCAATTCCAGGCAGAGGGCGAAACCTTGGGCAAGTTTCCTTACTCCACACAGAGCCTAATAATATTCCCTCCAAAAGCAAAAACAATAATAAATTGGTCATTTTCAATCTACGACTGTTTGTGGGACATTGCTGTGCGCAATTGGCTGCCGCGTTCTCCCACAGATATACAGTCAATTCACTTTACAGTGTGTTCTGTGAAGCGCTTTGGGACGTCCTCCCGACGTGAAAAGCGCTATATCAAATGCGAGGATTATTATTATTATTATTATTACAGGACTTCACGTTCTTGTATGATATTCCGGAGCTCTGATGTTTCTTTCTCCCTATCCAGACAATCCGCACGATCCGCAGGCGCCGCTGTTACCCGCCCACGTGGAAGCGCTGGGTTTTCTACCTGTTTCCCGGCACGGTGATCGCCATGTCCGCCGTGGCTCTCTACACTTTTGTGGAGACGGAGGAGAACTATTTCTACATCCACAGTATCTGGCATATGCTGATCGCGGGCAGCGTGGGCTTCCTGCTGCCCCCCAGGCCCCGCCCTGGCAGAGGCCCCGCCCCCAGCTCCGTGGTTCCTCTCCAGAACAAGCGACGAGGCTGCGGGTACCAGCTGTGTGTTAACGAGCACGAGGAGATGGGATTGGTCGATCCAGCCATGGTGTCCATCAACAGCATCTGCAGCAGTTGATGATTGGCCACTAATTGATGATGAGTCAACCAGTGAACTGTTGAGATTAGCCAATGGCTGGTTGAGTTAACCATTGACCAGTTGACGTAACGATGGAACAGTTGTATTGACTTTTGGTCAATCAACGTAAACATTAACCGGTTGAGTTAACCATTGGCCAGTTAAGTTAAATATCAGCTGGTTGAGTTAACTATTAGCCAATTCAGTTGATCATTGACCAGTTAAGTTGACCATTGGCTGGCTGAGCTAACTCGTAGCTGCTTGAGTTGAGTTGATCACGAACTGGTTGAGCTAACCATTGGTTGGCTGGGCTGATGATTGAATCAGGAAACAAACCAAAATGGCCATCGTTTGACCAAACCCAACACGTCTGGACGGAAACTGAGCTTTGACGACCAGTGAAGAGCAAACCCTGGACTTTCTATTGCTGCACTGGACAGTCTGAGTCCATTTGAAGGCTCCTCCTCTGACCTCACCTCCGCGCCCCCCCACATCCCTCAGAGAATCTCCACAGTGGGGGAGAGGGCAAATGCTGGTCCTGATGTTCTCTCCACTTGATAAATGTAAAAAGTATTGTATTAAAATGCAAAATATATTGCTCTCTCACTCCCCACACACCTCCCCGCTCCTTGTTCCATGATTTGGGCAGAGTTCAGACACTGCCCCAATCCCTGAGGAGGATGGGGGTGAGGGCGGGTGGGTTGTGTATGGTGATGGGGGGGCATATTTTCTTTCGTGCAGCCCAGTGTTGGAATCGAGCCAGCTCTCTGTGACGGTCTCTAGTCCGGTTCCTGAGCCAGATGGGTCTGCAGTATTCCAGGGCTCTCACTGCTGATGACAGAACAGTACGGCCTGGCTCATCGGCAGGACCTGGAAGGGCTGACCAGTCACTCAGGGCAGGGAATCCTCCCCCTCAGCTCCTGTTAACTCTCCAAGCCAAAGCCTTAATGGGGAGGGTGGTCCTAACTGGACAAGCAGCAGGAAAGCTTGCCAGAGAGTGATATCAATGGCAAGCTATGCCATTTTAGCAAGTTAGACTCCTTCAATTACCCCAACACACACTCTTGGCTCTTGCCAACCTGCGCCTAATACTCTCCAGAATTAGGTAAGCAGGATGTGTTCCTCCAGGGAGAGAGAGAGTGCACATCCCATTTGAGCAATCAATCTCTGGGATTTCCGTGTGTAGGTGGGATGCGTGGAAATGTCAGCTTGGTTTGGAGACTGTTAAGCAACGGTGATGGGTTTCTGTGTGTGTCAGACAGTCTGCTGTCAGTGAGGGATCGATTCTAAGGGAAATAGCCAGCAACGGCGGCTACAACAGGGTATCACTGGTAAAGCCTGGACAACCCAGAGCCATGCACACTCCCACAGGTGGAGAGGAGACCTGGGGGAGAGGTTTAAATGATAAGTGGATTTTTAGGAGCATAAGAATTTGCTGGACGAAAAAAGACCAAGGTCCATCTAGTTTGCCTTCCACCATCCTAGTAGTCGTTTGCTACAGTCATGGAAATGTTGATAGCAACTCTGTGTGGATTAGACTACAACACAGTGGAAAGCTTTGGGAACCTTACGTAAAAATAAAATAATCCTTGCATTTGATATAATAATAATAATAATTCTTGCATTTGATATAGCGCTTTTCACGTCGGGAGGACGTCCCAAAGCGCTTCACAGAACACACTGTAAAGTGAATTGACTGTATATTTGTGGGTGAAACCTTAGATACAAAGTTGTCTGGTTCTTCCAAGCCATACAACACTTACTGTATGTAATGTCTCAAATGACTCATACTGTACTCCAAAATATTATTTTCTAAAAGAAATCTATCTAACTTGCACTTGAAAGACTTGACATGATCCGCTTCCACCATCTCCCTAGTGTTGATGACGCAAACAGGGAGGAATTATTTCCACTGGTCGGTGAATCGCTAACCAGATGAAACAGAATTAAAATAGCAAAGCGAGAGGTTAGGAGACGTGTTCTACACACTCAGAGGCTTGTAAGGATGTGAAATCTTCGACTTGGAACCGGGGCTGTGGCAGAATCTTGTGGATTAATAAATAATAATATTAATTATAATAATCCTTGCATCTGATACAGCGCCTCATCAAGTTGTCAAAATGTCACAAGGCTCTTCACAGGATTTGCTGTTAAGTCTGGCGTCTGTGCGTTTTGGATGTAAACCAATTTGCGAACAGCAACGTCCCACGAACAGCGGTGAAGAGAATGATCCATTTATTCTGGGGGATTGTCAGCCGGGATACGGGGAGAGAGAGAGAGAGAGAGAGAGAAACTCCTTTCTCTTTTCCAATAGCGCCGCGGGATCTTAAAATATCTGAAAAGCAAAAATATTAAAGGGTTTGTGTTGGGGTGGGAGTGCGGGTGGGAGTTGGGTGGGGAGGGGACTGGGCCAGAATAGTTAGGTGATGCAAATGTCCATGGGGATAAATAATAATAATCCTTGCATGTGATCAAGCATCGTTTCACGTCTTCGAGACTCTCAAAGCTTCACAGGATATAATAATCCTTACATTTGATAGGCTGTAAAGTGTAGTGACTGTATTTTGTGGGCAAAACACTGCAGCCAATTGCACACATCAGTGTCCCACAGTGACCAATCTTTCTTTTTGATAGGATTTGACTGGTTCGATTGCCTCTCTCCCTTTGCGATGACAAAGTGGTATATTTTGAACTATTGCTTAATTTAACGGCAGGAATTAATTTAGACGATAATCCTGATCGTGGAATGTGTTTCGGTTTCCTTGCTCGCTCTGTACCTGCTTTAATTTAGTTCCCCAAGTGAAAGGCACAGGTATATTGCGAAGTCCGAAGTGGTTAGAGCACTCGCCTCGCAAGCGAGAGGCCCCGGGTTCAATTCCTGGCAGGATGAAACATTGGGCAAGTTTCCTCACTCCACACGCCTCTGTTTACCAAGTAGTAAGTAGGAACCTGGTTGTTTAAGCGCTCTAAGACGCCGCCCAGCGTGGAGGGCGCTATATAAATGCAAGTTGGTGTTGGTCGATTGGACGATTGCTTTACGGGGGTAATAATCCCTTCAAAAAAATAATAATTTGGTCACTTCAATCTACGTCTGGGACACAGGGGTGGGCAATTGTCATCATTGTTTTACATTTTTTTTTCTGAGCCGTAATCGTTCGCAGGTGAGAGGAGCGCACAGACGCAGAAAATGTTAAGTGTGTTTTATAACGGAGACGGTGTCTGGGGGAGTGGCTGGTGTGGGTTGGCTATGAGCTGGCAATGTTTGTGTTATTTAACCATACCTGGGTAATTAACACCGTCATCAGCAGCGTTAATTACTATCATTATGATTATCTTGGCACCACCACTTAACACCAATTGTCTCAGCAAGTCCCTCACGGGACACAGCACATGTCCCCCGAGCTCAGCCCCTCGCGCTCTCACCTCGAGGTCAGCTTGTGGGTTTGAGCCCACCCACCCCCGCCCACCCCGCACACCCACACACACACCCACACACACACACATCTGGGGCTTTGAGCTCAAGGGGGAGGAGCGCGCTGCATTGTCAGAGACGCCTGCCTTCGGATGAGACATCAAACCGCGCTCCCGTCTGTGCTTTGCTCAGGTGGACGTTAAAGATCCCGTGTCGCTGTTGGACAAGAGAAGGGAGTTTCTCCCTCCCTCTGTCCTGGCTAATTTAATCTCCCAAATGAATGAATCAATCGCTCCTTCGCTTCGCACTGTGTGAGGGACCCTGCTGTGCGCAAAATGGCCGCCTGCAGTGACGACCCGTCTCAGGGTGAGGTGGTGTAGGGACTGGAGCCAACGAGGAGGAGGTGTTTGTCAATGATCAGCTCTGCTCCATGGCCACCAGCTCAGCTGTTAGTCTCTACTGTGGGAGGCAATCAGGAGGTGAAACCAGCATTACAACAACAACTTGCATTTATACAGTATATCCACTATATTATTGTATGTCAATCAACAGCCCGACCATTGACTAGAGGAGGAGGAAGAAAGCCTCACGCTCCACCAGACGTTCCGAGAGCTCAAATAAGGATTCTACACAGCTCTGTCTCTCTCTTTCTCTGAGTCCTCTCCCTCTCTCTCTCTCCCTCTCTCCCTGTCGCTCTCTCTCTCTCTCTCTCCCTGTCGCTCTCTCTCTCTCTCTCTGTCGGTTTCTCACTGCCCCACATCCACGGCTGGGGAGAGCTAACAGTCTTGTTTTTCCGTGCACTCCCCCACGCAAAACAGCAATAATAATGTGATCACTCAATCCACGACTGTGTGGGACACTGCTGTGTGCAATTAGATCCCATCTTTCACCCACGAAATACAAAGCCAATTCCAGTTTACGGTATATTCTGTGAAGCGCTTTGAGACGTTTTGATGACGTGATGAGGCGCTGTATCAAATGCAAGGATTATTATTATCGTAATCTTGTCATTGTCACAGAGAAGCAGGCCACTCGACCCAACCTGTCCGTGCTCGAGCTGCCACCTCCCATTCCATATACAAGAGAACAACAACAGCGACAAATCCCATGTGTACAGCACCTTTCATGTCAGGCGGATGTCCCGAGGCGCTGGACATTCAGGGACCTGCACCTGAGCTGGTGGTTGGGATCAGGAGGGGTGGAGAGAAAGCCCTTGTGTGTTTACGGCACCCCGTTAAGTCAAAACTCCTCAAAGCTACACAGGGAATTCCTGCCCAGTGTAGTGACTGTGCTTATAGGCAAAAATGTTGCCCACAGCCAAGGTCCTACCAACAGCTTTGAGGTGAACGATCTTTTAGTCTGGGGGATTGTCAGCCAGGACACCAGGAGAGAGAGAGAGAAACTCCTCTGTTCCCAACAACTCCGCGGGATCTTTAACGTCTTTAACGTCCACCTGAACAGGGCACAGACATGGTTTAACGTCAAAGGACGGCATCTCCGACAACACAACAACAACTTGCATTTATATAGCGCCCTTCACGTGGGGTAGCGACCTGGAGTGGTGGAGTCTGACCCTGAGCCAGGGAGGGGGAGGTCACCGTAAGCACGATCAAAAAGGAGGGTCTTTTGGCAAATATTTGTACATTTTTGCCCACAAATATAGTCAATTCACTTTACAGTATATTCTGTGAAACGCTTTGAGACGTCTCGAAGACGTGATAAGGCGCTATATCAAATGCAAGGATTATTATTATTTGAAAGTGGGGAGGGAGGGGGCAAGGCGGAGGGATTGAGGGAAGGGGGTTTCAGAGCTTTGGGGTGTAGTGGTTGAAAGCACAGCCGCTGATGGTGGAGCAGAGGGGTCGTGGGATGAACAGGAGGCCGGAGCAGAGGCAGCGGGTGGTGGAGTGGGTCGGGGGAGATGGGGGTGTGTGGGAGCAAATCGCACACGGGAGGTACGAGGGCATGAAACGATCTGAAAACGAGTGAGAGGATCTTGAAGCCGATCCATTCGGTGATTGGGAGCCAGTGCAGCCTGACAAGGACTGGGGTGATGAGGGTCCAGTGTTTTGTGCAGGTTGGTGTCGGGCCGGTGGAGTTCTGAATTAATTGTATCGTGTGTTTGGTGGAACTGGGGAGACCAGTGAGGAGGGCGTTTGAAAAGCTCAGCCAAGAGGTGACAAAGGTGTGGCCGAGGGTGAGCTGC